TTATCGTTTGACAGATGCCATTTTGAATGTAATTTAAAAAAAAAAGTGAATGTCATTTTGAGTCAATGGCATTTTAGGTGCCGTCTGAGAGGGGTATTAAGTTTACCGTCATAATTTTTTTCTCGCTTTTTAAAAAAGAAAAGTAGCCATTTATGCGAGCGCTAAGCAATAAAAAAATTTGGAGAAAAAAGTGTCGTGATGAATTAATATTTTATACTAAGAATCCATATTAAAAAGTACAGTCAGAGGCAATTTGACCTGCGACAACGGAGCGAGCGGCCACGGGGAACAATTGCCGTATGCAGCGCTGCGTTCGCTTTTTCGCTCTGGGGAAGAGGCTACGGAAGCAGTCCACGTTTCGATGCCGGGGGAGATCCAATCAAAACAAATGCCCCTTGCGCTAGAATGGCCTTCTATCATATCAGATAAGCTCTTTTTTGTACAATAATTTTCTGCGTTTTATCTTTCGCCTTCTCTTTGTAAATTTTGACTGTATTCCTCAAAAAGTCAAACGCTCCGCTGTTTCATTTTGATCATGGAAAGTAAGCCAAGAATGACTAATAGTTCATTTATAGGCGTGAACCGAATATATGGTAGCATAGAAGTTTTCCTAATAATACTGTTAACGGCTAAGGTAAAAAACGACTGCATAAGGATAGTTTTTTTCTGTGTCTGATTCTGTGTGCGTGTGCTCGGGAATTTTGCGGCTGCAATAACAGAAACATTGTCTTCAGCGTCGTCTTTATTTCCTCATACCACGAAAAGTAATCGATTCGTCTTAGAATCTCTTAAAAGAAAAATGAGATTTCTAATCACATCTAGTCAGAAGTTATTTCCAATAAGCTAAAAGAAAAAAAAAAAAAAGTTGGGCATCCGGCACTACTAACCGCGCACTCCCGCTCCCTCAGTGCTTATCACCTGTCGAAGGCGCCTGGGTATGGACTCACAGAGGTTGCTGGTGAGGCTCGGGATGGACTGGAGGTTGGTCCATTCTTGTTCGACTGCTTCCCAAAGGACTTCTGAAGAAGCCTGATGAAGGTCCCGCGCCAACAGATTCCGTTTCATTAGCCCCCATATGTTCTTGATCATATTTAGATCCGGCGACCTTGGTGGCCATGTCAATTGCCTTACACCTAAGCCGTCGAGCAGGCTCTGCACTCGGCCAGCTGTGTGGATCGGACTGTTATCTTGTTGCAAGATAAAGCAGCCGTCAAAAGTCAAATTTCGGGGTTTTACGTGCCAAACCAACGGCGGGCATCTGGCACGCCTCAGCGGAGGACTGAGGATTAATTTCGACCACCTGGGGATCTTTTGACGTGCAACCGAAAGCTCGGTTACACGGCGTCTTCTCCGCAATAAGCCTCCGTCAGATTGCGGGCACCTCGGCCGGGATTCGAACCCGCCACATGGGGATCCGAAAGCAGCCGTCGGAGAACTGACCATCCAAGGCGAGAGGAAGCAAGGTATAACAGAGTATGCCACAGTATTTCTCCGACGTCAGCCTTCCGTCGATTCGCGTGAGTGAGCCCAGCCCTTGCGCAGTTATGGCCCCCCATACGCTGACCGAACAACGACCGCTCGTCGCCACTTCTTGCACGTAGTGAGGGTCATACCTGTATAAAAATAAAACAACACTTATTCACTTAACTAGAAGAGAGAAGGCCAAGAGAAGTTCAGTATATGGTTTTTGGTCTCACCGTTTGCAAGTAGGTCGCCACACACGTTTCTGCTGGTCCCATTCAGACGTGAACGTAGACTCGTCTGTGAAGATGACTGAGGCCCAGCCGCTGACATCCCAGTACCGGTGGGCTTCTGCGAATGCAAGTCTTTGCTCCTTGTGGCGTGAAGTCAGGAGCGGTTCCTGACATGCAATACGACTCCGAAGCCCTACGTCGTGAAGCCGCCGCCCGATGGTTTGGAGCGAAACTTGGAGGCCCAACTGCCCTCGTATTTTTGCTGCGGTTATACTTGGCTGGTCAAAAGCTGCACTAGCAATCCGCTCGTCCTCCTGACGAGTCGTTGAACGGGGTCTTCGCCTGTGCGCCGCATCAGCTATACGCCCTTCATTCCTATACGCTGGCACGATACGATTTACAGTGTTCAGTGCATATCCAAATCTAGAAGCTATAGTTCTTTGACTTTGTCCGTCCCGAGACAGGGCACATATACTAATTCTATCTTCTAGTGGCACCCGTGACATTACGGCAACATCTGTGAGTCGCCTCAAGATCAGCTTATCTTATAAGTCGGGCTAAAACAAAGATAAAGTATATCCCATGCTTCCAACACCCGAATAAAAACTAACAAACTTAAGCAGTCTTCGCGACTTCGCGGTAACTTGTGAAAAACCCATCGGCCAGCACTTGACAGAAATTTGACGCTTACTTTTCATGTGTTTGCAAAAATAATTCTTGTTTTTCTGAAACAAAACAATGAACATGTCGGCTGTAAATGTGGGATAACATTTTTACAGATATGTGAGAAAAATGTATCCGTTTACTTTTAGTTATATTTTTGTTAGACTAAACTATGAACCGTAAACTGAAATCAAGTTGGACTCATTACGTGCGAAAAAGCTGATAGTAATGCCCGACGGCTTTACAAACTCATGCTACGATATGAGCGCCCGAACGGGAGCAAATCGATATAGCCTTGCCAAGAGAACAATAAATATACTTTAAAATATAAGTCGGCGTATTTTGCTAACCGCTTCGAAATGCCGCGCCGCATAGCCGGTCCTTCTTAATCACTCCCCCCTTTCCTTCCTCCCCCCCCTCCCCCGTTTCTACAGAGTGGACCAGTCCGCCGAGTCTCGTTCCCACAACTACGCGGCGACCGCTGCGCCCCATGCAGCATTTTGCCTGCTCCGCCGGCGTTCACGTTGTCGCGGGTCAAATTGCCTCTGGCTGTATCTGACGTGTTCATAATCCTTCCAATTTCAAGTTTTGAAGTTTTCGAAGTTTTCGTTTAAAGGCACTCTGTGCTGAATATACCGACGCCCGTCCCTTTGACATACTCCATAGGCGCTTTAGATGCATGGCGTTTATGGGTCCTTTGAGACGTTATTACGTCACCTGACGTCACGGTGTCGCGTGGCCATAAGGAACGTATATAACTACCAGAGTAGCAAAACTCCCAAGCTTGACGCACCCAGATAGCGTATCAGTCTCTTTTTCTTTCCTGTGGTCAGCATGAGCTTTTAAAAAGAATGTTTTTGCGTAAAACAGACAAAAAAAAGCTCTATTCGTGGTGTTTTTTTTTTTTTTTTTTAAGTTGGTACAGAATGACAGGAACGTGATGTTTTCATAAAGTATTAGTTTACAAGGTTTTTCGGCACAATTAAAATTGTTTTTATAGAACCTACAAGCATGTCTCACTGCTGATTTCAGGTAGCGCGTCCCGACGTGGGCGCGCGTCCTAATTTCAGCGGTAATTCGCTGCGATTGTGCTCGGAAGTCGGGGGCTGGCAGCCATGAATGGCAGCCCTGAAACCACTTCCACTGTAAACGTTTCGGAGCCAAAATGGCCGATCAAAGCAAATACTGAACAGTAACGGACGCTATCGAATGCTACTTTGGTGCAGCCGTGCAGTTCCCTGACTGGCCGCTGCGGAAGAAATGGTGGTGTTGCGATCGTATTTAGTTCGGTTCTCGAGTACTGATCGGAGCGCCCCAACTGAGTATTCTAGTAACGTAGGCTTGTATAAATGAAAAGGTGGCCTGTGAGGCGTCACCGCATCACGCTGTTGGCCATTTCTACATGTACTGGCCAAAAAAAAAGAAAAAAGTTCGGTGGTGCGATATGCATGCAGCAGAAGGCGTTGTTGGCTGTAACGCGTTACAAGTAATGGCATTACATGTAACGCGTTACTTTTGGAGCAAAGTTGAAAGTTGGGCCAGTTGTTTTATGGTTCTTTAAATACTTAAAAGCGCCGAAAAAGACAAGGACAAAGAAGTGGAACGACACAAGGCGCCTCGCAACTGTTGTTTTATTTTGAAAAGTACATGCATTTATAGGCCCCAGAACCCTGTTAGTCATCAGCGTGTTCCTCGCAATGCTTCTCTCAAATATTCAAACTCACTCTTTGACAGGGCGAGTGACGCTTCACTTATGCACTCAACGCCCTTATCCCTAATTGCATACGCCTCGTACAGCTCTCTGCTTGTTCGGTCGCGATAACGAGCCAAAATCTTAATGTCATGTAGCACTGGCGTACACGGGCCTCTATTACAATGAATGGCGAGATTCAAGAAGCGAGAAGTGCGCCTTGTGTCGTTCCACTTTTTTGTCTTTGTCTTTTTCGGCGCTTTTAATTATTAAAAGAAGCTTTACTTTTACTGTAGTAACGTAATCGTTACATTTTTTTCTTCAAAACAGTAACACATAACATACTTATTACGTTACGTATTCTGAGTAACCTAAACGTCATTACGTTACTAGGTAAATATTTTTCCCAAGATTAAATCAAAAACTACATTTAAATTGTTGTTCGTGTTTCTAGGCGCCAAGTCATATATTCTTGCGTCTTCTGCGTTTTCTTGTCACGCCTATTTTTCGTGTTTTTGGTTGTTGCAGCGAGTATTCAGGTTGAACTGTAAAAAATATAAGTTTAATACGTTAAGTGTCTGCATGCTTATAATGTTTCTTGAAATATGACGATTTATTCATCAATAAAAAGTAACGCAAAAGAAACCTGTGTTACATTTTATCAGTATTTGTAAGGTAGCGTGATCCCTTCATCTCGAGAGAACTTTGGTCGCTAACACTTTGCTTTAATTTGCAAGGAACGTGTAACGTATTTTGTTGCTTTTTGTTTTTGTTAACTATTACAGCACTGGCAGCAAGCCAACCACAATGGCCGCTTAAAGTGACACCAGTGCCAGCCAAGTTTAGAGATCGGGGGCTTGCTGAAAGTGTAGGCATTTAAACACACTTTCGAGGAACCACCGATATAAAACAGGGAAGAAAGAAACTCAAACCGAACACTGCTCTTATTTCAGAAAACTTCGAGGTGGACGGTGTGCTGCTACCGGGCACGTCTTGCGACTACGACTTCGAGAGCGGAAACCGCACCGAAACCCACGGACACTTCTACTCGCCTCTGTACCCGTCCACGTACCCGAAGAACGTGCGCTGCGCGTACAGCTTCATCGCGCGCTTCAACGAGCGGGTGCGGCTCACATTCGAGAAGATTCGACTCCAGCAGGGTGACTTCAGGTACACATTACTTTTAGCCTGTTTTAGGTAGGCCGCAGACTACATGGTTTTAGCCGCCAGAAAACGCCAATAAACGCCAGCCGGTGTCAAAGGTACAGAAATGTGTTAAATCCGAAAAACACCGATTTCTGAAAATGTTTGATCTAAGCGAGTACTATCTTCGCCGAAACCCTCCGTCCTTTGACATTCGTTGGGCGCGTAATGAGGGGGACTGATGAGCATCTGCCGTTGTCAAAAAATTCAAAATCGGTTGAAACCGAAAACCGCCGATTTTCAAACATTTCCCTATAAACGTGTGCTATTTTCGTCAATAACCTCCCTCCCTAAAAGTTTGTCTGCCGCGTTGAAAGAGGAATTAGTAACCTTCAAAGGGCAGTGGCATCAAATTTAGGTCAGTCAGTCTGTTACCCCGAACGCTCACGTTTTTGCTTTGTTTCATTTGGGGTAAGCTACACACGAGAGTGTTCTAAGCTTCACTGGCTGCCCCTATATATCAGCTGAATCTTGCGAAAGAAGCAATAGCAAACTACTTTTTTCGATCACAAACATTTTGTTTGAAAAAAACTTCAATTAGTGCTGTCACTCGAAGCTGAAGTGCAGTAGGATCAAACGAATATACCTCCGGGTGATTACATTAAAGAGTGCACTCACTTTGACCCGTGTTCGGACTCGTGGTCTATCGTTTGCAAGCACTGTCACATAATGACAAGCGCCTATCGTTATACACGAACCCAACTCTGCTACGTCACGCCGCGGTGGTGGCGCGTCAGGCGCACTTCCGGTCTGGGGCGGTGGGCGGAAGTCGCCGTGCCGTACATGCGTTCCTGTGTTCTTTTGGAAGAAACCATACAAAAAACCTGCCTTCTCGTCAAAACGGCGCGATGGAGGCTGTACCAAAAGAGTCTGGAAAGGTTTGAAGATCAGTTTTCATGTGTTTCTGCCTCCTTCGCTGTTCAGAGAACGTGAATAGTAGCCGTGAAAAGGGCAAACCAGACGCTGTCGAACTATGATTGCTTGTGCGAGCAACACTTTTTGGTCACCAGATGTATTTGTTTTGTTCCATCATGAACGAGGGAAAACTGCCAAGTTGTCCGGACCACCCGCGGGTTCAGTGCGTCTGCAAATTCAAACGGCCGCCTGATCGTTCGAACTGTCGTCTGCTCTTTGTCGTCTGCTCGTTCAAGCAAAAGCGACCCGCAGACCAAACTTTGACTCAGTGATTGCGATGAAAAGTAATTGCAGGCCTCAAAAGACTTAAGTAGGCTCGGTTTAAACAGTCGATACAAGATGTTGATCATTGATACCAGTGGTCATCACCGACTTGTTACACCTCATTCACTTGGTCTGTTCCCGTTTGCGATGCTCATTATTGACGTCGATCCCCGGCGCTACCGTCTACGCTTCTGCTGCACGAGTGACGTCGCAACCGAAAATAGCTAGAAGAATCTCATCATGGTTTCGGCCTCCAATCTGCGGCGTTCACGCGAGTGAATCTCGCATGTCAAATTGTTTACGCAAAGTTTAGCACCGTAACGAGCCTTGATAATTTCGCTCAGGCGACTAAAGTTGTAAGACATTGCTATGAGGACGTAGAATTGACTAATCCAAAGCGAAAAAGAGTACGCAGACTCACACAGACGCCGACAACGTGACATTCCAATGGTTTGTTCACGCGGGACGCGGTGCTTCTTGCCCACACTCCATTGCGCATCCGTTCGAACGGTCGTCTGCTCTTTCAAACTTGTCTGCTTTTTGTCGTCAGCTCGTTCAAATGACAGCGTTCGGTAAACCAAACGTTGACCCAGTAATTGCGATGAGAAGTAAGTGCAGGCATAAAAAATTTTAAGTTTGATGGTTGTTTGGGGTAAGTAGGCTCAGTGTAAACAGCATGGATACAAGGAGATGTTGATCATTGTTACCAGTGGCCATCACCGACTTGTACTGCCCGATTCTACTTCCGATTTTTAGTATCGGCGTCCACTATGTTAGCTACTGTCCACGCTTTTGCAGCCCGAGCGACGTCGCGACTGAAGATAGCGAGCAGAATCTCATCGTGTTGGTCAGGCTTTAGCGCGCATTCTACGGCGTCCACGTGAAAGGACTCGCCGCACGTCACATTATTTACGCAAAGTTTTGCGGTGTAACAAGCCTTGTTAATTTTTCTGAAGCCGCTCAACTAGTCAGTCATTGTCAGGACGTAGAATCAACCATTCCAACGCGAAAAAGAGCACGGGGACTCACACTGACGCCGACAACAACGCATTTCAATGATTTGTTTATGGGCGATGGCGAGCTTCTTGCCCACCCTCCATCGCGCATGCGCGGCGGCGGTGGCGTCCGCTAGGGGCACTCCGGTTTGTTTGTAAACATGAGTTGATGTACAGGGTTTAAAATTCGTAAATTATATTTCGACCCTTCGTTGTTGTCTCTTAAGAATTTTTTTGTCCGTTAGCAGTTCATTTTGATCGATAACGAACTTGCGTAACATTAACACAGAACAAATAACAGAAATACGCCAATTTCTAGAAAAAAAAATTAAGCGCCTAAAAGTATCTCTTAGATTTTCCTTATTAACAAAGGCCGAAAAACCTTCAACTCTCGTTCGTTTCTGTGCTCCTCCTGCCTGCTTCATGAGCTCCGCTCCCGGTTCACGACGAACATTAGCAAGGACGTGGTACAGCAGGGGCGGGGCCACCACCCACCGCAGTTATGGTTCTAGTTAATGGTAGTTTAAGTGTCCAGTCCTCCGCAATCAAAACAAGCAAATGTGACGTCAAAAGACTGAAAAATGCAAGGCAAACTAAAGTTTCACACTGACTCGTCGAGCAGGCCGACAGGCCCTCTCTGAATTCGTTTATTGTCCCCATGAAAAATACTCCGTCGACCCTATAGACCCCTTTCGAAATACTTCCCTCTTTTTGCAGCTGTGGAATTCCTACACAATGGCGGAATAAAGCCTCAGCGTCACGGTACAATGAAAAGAAAAACAAAACAAAAAACACCGAACAAAAATAGGTGATGAGCGCAGTGACGTTGCACTTTCGACGCTATTTGATTGGTTCGTCGGCTCGTAGCATTGGCCGTGCTCCGACGTTCGCAATATTATAGAATGACTTGCACTTTCCTCGATACAGTTGTTCCGCTATTGTGCAGCGGTACCGACCTTACAATAATCGGCACGTGACTTTCTAAATGGGTCTCTTATCACTTGCAGCGCCTACTCAGTCACCTAGAATGAACCTTTTCCACATACCGACGGCACCAGGCGGTGGCCGCACGAACTAAATATCAAGGAAGTGACCTACCTGCGCTACCAATCGATAATGTGAGCTATGTTGCGGCGCGTGCTCAACGTGACTTGAAAGAGGGGCATCCGTAGCGTCCACCCAAACGCCGTATTTTGCTTTCCGGCCACTTTCCTTTTTTGTGTAACACAGTTATATATATATATACTGCAATTCCGTGTTCTACTCGCTGATCCACAGCCTCCTTCCGAATTTCCTCGATTTCTCGCGCCGACTTTCGCCACTTGGCATCGGGTGATCGCGCGTCCGCCGAACGCTTCTCGGAAAAGGTCCATTATAGCCTTTCATATCTGCAACATCGAAATGTAGTAGAGTCAATGACAACTTAAGACACGCAAAATGGGGCGATTCTAGAGCCTCTGGTTATTGCTCCAGAGTCAACGAGATTGTGGTATAGTTTTTCATTTCTGCGACATCCAACGTCGATGAAGCAACTCAAGCTTGAAAGTACACGAGCACAAAAGCAGCACGACTAATTTGTTTCGAAACTTATGGCGGGGGCTTCCAGTTGCCGTACTGTGCTTCAATAAAGCGAGTCCGGGGCTCCATTAGTACACAATTTACCAATATACTGCACGGCACTATATTGCCGACATGGTTTGTACACCTACCTACGTTGTTTGAGGCGACGCATTAGGATTACAAAACTGTGAATTAGATGGTCGCGTCAGAATCGAGGTGTTAAATCCTCCGAGCCACAGTTAATTATGGAGAATGGGAAACTCGGGGAGATTAGGCGTAGTTAGTCGGATTACATTTCCCGTTAGCTCCATTATTGTGTTCACAATTATAGCTTCGTAATTAGTTCTTCGGCGTTATTATCGGTTAACGCCACGACCTTATTGACTGTGGAGTGATAATAAGATTCTAGCGGCTCCCTCCGCGTCCCGCTTGACTTCAACCGTCAGTGTCAGATATAGGGGGTGTAGTACTTACACCCTTTGTCGCGCATGTAACATCTCTAAAACTACATTTTTATGTCCTGCAAAGTGACGACGAAGTAAGGACACCAGCTTTCACGAGCTGCAGCTTGATAGCTGTGGGATATAACTAGGGTTCCCATTCTTATCGGTGTATACTGATAAACACCGGAAACTAACCCCGATGCAGTCTTAAAGACCGACGTATAGTTCGCGCTTTCCACTTCTGCCGCCTCCTCCTTTCCTATATTCTCTTCGCTTTTTACCTTTCCCCAAATTCGCTGCCCTCGCAGCTTAGGAGAAGGGGAGCGCTAAGAGGATTATCTTCCCTGCAGAAATTCCAGGTTGTACGTCGGCCTTTAACTAAATCGGTGAAAACCGTAAAACTCCGAATTTGAGCTGTCTTGAATAAAAACAAAACATAACAAAAGACGCCTGTTTCACATGAAGTAATCTACCTTTTTTTTTCTTTTTTTTTGTCTTTCGTTGACTTGGAACACAACCATACTAAACTGTCCTTGGAGTTGTTCCTTTCTATCGAGACCCTATTCCTTGCCCCGTTTCTTTCTCTTATCTTCACCAGCATGACGGTGAGTTTCCTGGAATATGGAAGAAAAAAGGACTCGGGAGTGGAATTGGGGTCATTAAAGGCATCCAAACCAGCCCGCAAAACGTTGCCCGGAATAATGCGAAGAATAGAATCCACCTTTTTATACATATATATATATATATATATATATATATATATATATATATAACTTCTACAGGCCGGCAG